TTGAACATTTGTGGGTTTACCTCGAACCGTTATTTAGTGAAAAAATGTTGAAAAAGTCAAAAAATCATTGACCCGACCGGTCAAACCGTTGACCCGGTTAACGGTTAGTGGTTCGGTATTTTATTAGTTTTTATTTTAAAATAAAAATAAAATGCCATATATATCCTAATAGGATTTTCTTACCTTCGAAAGTCTTAGCCTCTTAGGGTCTTGTTTTGCCAAACCCAAAACCAAAAGCCTTCAGGTGTTCACTGAAGATGAGGGAGGCGATACACCAGCACCGCCATTCCCAGAATCCGAGCAAGCACCCACTAGTGGCCAAAGTTGCAGTGGCAGATGGCAATTAAAGCTTCGACTTTTGAGCCATTCACTCTTTCTCAACCGCATCTTGAAAGGAATGGCCCCGACGACTATCTTCACTGCGGTTGCCAGTGACCACTGTGGACTCCAACCTCCGACGACTATCTTCACTGTGGCTGCTGACCACTGTGATTTTTCAGGTAACTAAGTGACCCAACGACCACTAGTCAGTTCAGATCCACCATTATACAGTTCAGAACTTTAAATTTCAGTTTTTATTTCTCATTTAGCCAATTCAATGACTTTTAATTAACTCTCTTTTTTTTTTTTTTTTTGCAATACTATGATTTTTCAAGGAACTGAATCACCATTTGCACCGGTGACCACTCCATTGGAGCTGAAAGCCACTGGAAAATCTGGGGTTGAGGAATCCCCTGTTTTTCAATTTTGAGGTTGAGCCACTACAGAATCTGAGGTTGTGTCCTAGTCGGTGGGTGTATGTTAGCTGTAGATCTTCTGATAGTTTCTCATGAAGCTTCGGAGAAGACCTCTATCCCTATGCAATCGAATTTGTTAGGATGGTGAACAAGTTGGCCTAGTGGAGAAGGATGCTATTAGAAGGTTTTGGTCAAAGAAGACTATTGACTAGACAACCAAGTGTTGGGCTTCAGGGATGATTGAGTGGAAGAGATTGCGTGATATTCATGAACTCTGTTGGGCATTCGCCATTCATATTTTTTTTTCTGTATTTTATTTAATTTTTATGTTATTTTTTATTATATATAAATATTTTTTGTTTTTTAATTTATTTATGACATCACAGGTTGAACCATTTGACCCGAACAGTTGAACCACTGAACCGGAAAATGGTGCCTAAAACGGTTCCGTTTCCGGGTCAATTTTTAAAACGTTGCTCCTAACAGCATGCACCGAAGATCTCGGAAGTGTTTCGTAAGACCCATGGCAACTCACCTATATAAGGGCATCAACACAAGGTACACGCGATTTATTGCTCACTAGCATTCTAGGATACAAGTATTCAGCTTGCTCAATGAAGTACTAAGTTAAGCATCGGAGTGCGCACATCGGGTAAGCCACCCCGAGCCCTCTGAGCCTTCCTCTTTTGCAGTTTGATTGGCCAGCTAAGCAACAAACATCTAAGCTGCCCTCCATCTAGGAGCATCCAAATCGCGCACCATCAGCTTCCATAAAAGTGCTTTCGTAAAAGTACTTCTATAAAAGTGCTTTCATAAAAGTACTTTCGTAAAAGTGCTTTCATAAAAGTGCTTTCATAAAAGTGCTCTCATGTAAAAGTACTTTTGCAGAAGTGCTTTTATAAAGCTACTTCTGTAAAAGTGTTTTCATAAAAGTACTTTTGTAAAAGTATTTTTATAAAAATGCTTTCGTAAAAATACTTTTCATAAAAGTACTTTTATAAAAGTGTTTTTATAAAAATGGTTTCATAAAAATGCTTTCGTAAAAGTACTTTCATAATAGTGATTTTATGTTGTTTATAGTTTTGATTGATTTCAATTTGGACAAGGGTTTGGCCTCATGATCGGATTATTGAAATTTTGGTTTAGATCTAATTCAAACCAATAAGAATATAGACAATTTATTTTGGATTGGCCCAATCCAATAATTATAATGGACCATCCAAATCCGATTTGATAAGGTTTGGATCAGATTGGATCCAAACCAAAACTGATTAATTGACACCCCTAGATATAATTAAGTTTTTAATATAGTTATTTAATTACTTAGATTAAATTAATTTATTTAATGATTTAAAAAAATATTTTAAAAATATAATATCTAATTTTAAAATTAATTAACAAAATATTAAAAATACATTAAATGAATTTAATTTATTTGACATAATTCAATTATCTAAATCAATTTAACACAATTCAATCACATAAAATTAATTACTTTATTTATTTAATTTTAGGTTATGGGTCCCATGTATTTAATTTTAGWTGGATAGCTTACTAAATAGCTACTATGTTCAACTAAGACTATCTTYATTTTGGTTAGACAACATGTGGATCAAAATGAAGAGAAAGAGAGAGAGATGATTGGTTGGGGCCTTGTATCAAAGAGAGGGGTTATATGGGACTCGATAGGGCCTGGTGTTAGAAAAGAGAGGTTGTAAATGTTTTATTTAAAAAATAATATTTTTTTATTTTAATGAAAATTATTTATTTTTCGTTTTTTAAAAGACAATTTTTTTTCTTTTTATAATGTCTTTCAATCTTACAACCCTTACAATAAAATTGTTTATTTGAAAACTATTTATGCCCTTAGCTAGTTCTACTAAAATCAAAATCAGTTGGGCTGTGTTTGGTTGCAATGCAAAACCATGTCAACGCAAATGATTTGTGTAAATTCTGACCTATTTTTGTTTTAAATTTTAGCTTATTTTATTTGATTGCAGCACAAATGAAGTAAATTAAAATATAAAGCAGAATAAAATAAAATCCAAAACAAAATTAAACAAGAATTTACATTTTTTACATTTACACTCTAATACATTTGTATTAGTGCAAATAAATTTGCACTGCAACTAAACACAGCCTTGATTTCAACTTCAACCTGGAAGAGCTTTAACGATAGCTATTTCGGGTTGGATTAATAACAGAAATCGGATATGGATCAGGTTTTCTTGTCGGTCTTACTCAAATCCAACAACCCAAGTAGTTAATGATTTTAACGAGTTATTATTGAAGAGGATCCACTGATGACGTGTTTGATTCTTATAGACAGAGCCAACGGGATTTCGCCGATTGATGATTCATTGACCAAGTTCGCTCAACCTGGTTGGATTTATGGCGAYAAGGCAGGTCGCGGCTATTTAGTATTTTCTATTAAATACACGACGGTTCAGTTCAGCCCAGTGTCACAATTTTTAGGTCCAAAATACAGTTGGGGTGGGTGTTAATCTGTATAGAATGAAATTTTTTGACATTTTGAATATTTATAGTTCTGAAGTGAAAATCAGAAATTCGAATTAAATATCATTAATTAACATATACAAGAAAAGCAAAAGAGAAAAAAAAAGAGCTCAATGCTCATTAGTCAATTAGGGTCTCGTTAACTTGCGATGTTTTTTTGTTTTATTTGAATGAACTTTTATAAATTAGGGTCTGGTTAACTGGGTTGATTGGGGGATGGTAATTTCTGTCATCCCGTGGGGCCATTTTTTTATTTGAAAAATAGATTTTGGGACAGGTACTGGTTTTTGGGATTTTATATATATTCTTGGTCAATGAATTATCAATTTAAATAAGGTGCAGTATTAGATTAAATCGAACCCTTCCCAACTCATATTATGTTATTGGAAAGCATGTGAAGTTATGTATGGTTATTGAATTTAATAATATTTTGAATTTTATGCAAATAATAATTGATAGTTTGTGTTTTATATATGTTTTAATCAAATAATTAGATTTTTTTTTACGTTTGTTCATGTTATTTTATTTGTTTATTACTTATATATTAGAGAAAATTATACGTGAGTTTTAACTTTTAAACCCAACAAGATTTTACGTTTTCTTGTGCCATTGTGTGTGTGTGTGGACCTGATATAGGTTTTGGGGAGGAAACAGGTTGGGAGATTTAGGGAGGTGGGTAGCTTTAGAATTTACAAAACCCCCATTCCTTTGAACTTAACTGATTGTCATGATCACATTCACCTAAATATACATTGGGAACATCTCTTATACTTTATATTAGTATCAATACTCTCAATGTGGCGAGACTCGGCGCCCATGAGTTGTGATTGGTAAACCTAGATTCATAAAATGACATTCCTCCATTTGGGGGAATGGCTATTCCAGCCCCTCCTTTTGGGAGTGAGAATCTCATTCTTACCAATAAAAAAAGACAAAGGGCTTAAAAATCCATCAAACCTATTTCTATTTTGTTAACACCAATTCTCTTTGGGAGTTTCCATATTTTATGACATCAAATTCTATTAAGGCCTTGTTCATTTACAATTTTACAAGTTAATCTATTAAGGTAAATATTTCTTGGGTAGCATTTAGCTGGGTAAATTCACTTACCCATGCTCTTTTGATTTATAGGATTCTTGARTAACAGAATGACATTTTTATCTATGAAAATTTAATATTAAAATGAGCAAAATGGTCCCATATGTTTTATAAAAATTTTTCTCATACGGGAATGTTATTTACTTGGGAGATGAATAAGTTTTATTCAAGAAATTAAAGGTGATTTTATGGTGAGGCTCTTTGTTTAAAGCAAAAAGAACGTGAAAAAATTGTTCAATAGAAAAAAAAAAAAAAAACCCATTGACCAACTTTTCCGTACATATTTAATGGTAAACAAATTGGGTATAAGAAGATTTTGATTTCGATTCTGATTTCACCCTACAACCAAACGGACCCTTACTCTCCATACTCATCACTCATCAAAGTCACCAGTACTCAGTAGTCAACACTCCCTCAAAGGGTAAAAGAGTCATTCAGCAGGTGCCAGGTGTCGGGTGGGGTCTCGATTCAATCAATATCAATGAATCAAGCCATAATAAAGCGTGACGTCTGAAATAGCCGTTAATCAAGCCGCTCAAGCGACCTACGTGGCATTCTACATCAGCGAGTGAATAAACGCGTCCGCGTCTCAATCCAACTCGTTAAACGCGCCGACATCTTGGTTTACAGCACGCACAACTGTTGAACATACATCCTTTTTCACTTCTCTCTCTCTCTCTGAGGATAAAAAGCGGTTTTGTCTTCTTGAAAGCGGTTTTGCTGATTTGCAACTTCGGAAATAATATTTCTCAGAAGCCCCAAGCCCGCTGTATTTCGACCAGCACTCTCGGAAGAACAAACCTGTTTTTGTTTTCTCAACAAGCATTTTTTGTTTTACTTTTTGTAATTTCTTTATTATTTCCGATGAGATTTGTCCCAGAGCATGGCTTTATCGGGCAATGAGCGGTTTTTACCTCTGGTGGTGAGTGGTTTTCTTTGAATGCACGGGTGTGTTTGGCGGGTTGTTGCCGGAAAGCCGGATTTTTTGTTGAAAAAGATGAAGCTGAGGAAACCGGTTCTATTCTTGCTTTTCGTTACGGTTCTTGCTCCGATTGTTCTGTACACCGACAGGCTTGGAAGCTTCACCAATTCGTCCAGTAAGCTTGTTTTTTCTTTCAAGAAACTGCAAACTTTAAAAGGAAAAAGATTAGTTTTTGAGCTAACTGGATCTTTTCTTTTTTGGTGTTTCTGCAGCTAGAAGCGAATTCATTGAGGATTTCTCAACTATCGTGAGTGATTTCTTTATCTGAAATTTTGGTTTCGCGTTTTTTGAACTATTTTTTATGAACTGTAATCATTTAATCTGTTTTATTTTTTTCTTGGCGGTCTTCTTTTCAGAGTTTCGGTGGTGAAACCGGAAATTTGAATTTGCTTCGACAGGTATTTTTTTATTTGATTTTCTTGACTCATTTACATTGCTTTGGATGCGAAAAATGTATTTGAAATCTTTTTTTTTTCTGTTTTAGGAACCATCTAATAATTTGAAAGAACCGATTGGATTCGTTTATTTTGATAACACAAGCACTGCATTTTCAAGTTCTGATGGATCGACAGGGGATAACTCCGGCGAAATCATTGAATCCGCAAATGGTAATATTTGCAGGAACTCGCGTTTTAATCTGGACATGCCTTTTTTTCTCAAAATGTAATGTGGATTTTCTTTTAATTTTGGGAATTGTACAGTTTGGGTTTGATAGTTGTTGAATTAAGAAATTTGAACCAGTTTTTCTTCTTGATTTTTTAGTTCTAAACTTCTGATGAAACCCTTCAACTGTGTTTATTATTTACAGTTCGACAATTGGCGAATGAAAAACTTACGACAAAAGTTTCTTCTTGGTTGCTTCATTTTCTTTTTATTATTTACAGTATCGAAATTGGAAGAATCCAGGGATCTTAAGACCAGAGTACTGTCAACGACTAATGAAAGAACTCAGTCGGAAAAGGGGAACCTTATCAAGCAGGTAACTGACAGAGCTGAGGGAGAAAACACAAACAATGGCTTACAGAAACATGAGTCAACTGTGGAGAAGAAAGGTGAAGAACATGATAACATGGAGAAGGAAGAGAAACCTCAGTTGGCTGAGCAGACTTCCAACGAGGCCTCTGATAAGATGGTGACGGTAATTTTTGAATCCTTTTTTCTGTTGTTGTACTGTCAATTTTAGTCCTTTAGAGAATGTGCCAACCTTGAGTCATCCATAGCTTGTTGGTCTAGATTTATCATGCCATGGGTTTCATTGGCTTATTGGCTCGTGATGGATACATAAGCATTTTCTGGTTTGGAGTCACTTTGGTGGAGGAAATATTTACCTCCGAGGGTTCTGACTCTCCCAAAATTTGGTTTCAGCTAAGCTGATTAGAATTGGCCTGAAGTCCAGAGTTGTTAAAAATACTTGCTGCTACAGTTTATGCATTCTATTGTTTATGTTCCGCAAAATAGAGTTCTGAGATGTGGAGCTTGAAAAAGCCGGAAGTCAATGGAATTATGATACAGAAGAAAACTGTTAATAATCCTAATTATCATGGGACTTATGAAATTGAAAATAAAGAAACTTTTGATCATTTGAGTTGCACATGAAAACCTAGAGCTATACGATGTCTTTGTTTGGGAAAATTCTCCATTTTGCAGTCTCTTTAATTTTTCTTTTAGTTTTTAAATGCATGTTTCATAGAATTCCATTAGGCCAGTGACTGTTAATTGTATATATTGAACCATTTTGTATAGAAAAAGAAATGCAACTTTCTAACAAACTTGAAATGAATTTCCTATATCCTCATCCTGATAGGAAAAGGGGTCATTGCTTGGTGCAATGGTAAAATTTGGGCTGACAAGTGTGAGAACACAGGTTCAAGTCTGAGAGCTGCTACTTTTGTACAAAAAGCACCAAAGGTATGGTCTGTGTCCAGTTCACTGTTCACCCATCCCAAGACCTACTGGATAGCCAGGATTCAAACATTGATTAATAGCCCTTCTATCATCCTGGTGGGGAAAATGGTTGTTAGAATAATATTAAAAAGAAGATGACTGCCTGTTCTCAAATTAAATGGAAAAAGAGAAAATAAACCTGAGTGGTGAAGTTAATTTTTTCTTTCCTGATTCTGTCAGGACGATAAAAGTGGCAAGCAATCTGCAAAAACCTCTAGTAAAGGTGATTCAAAAGAGCATCTAACAACAAACACTGAGAGGAGGAGTGACCAGACAGTTATGCCTGATGCTCATGTCCGACAACTTAGAGATCAGTTGATCAGGGCAAGGGTTTATCTTGGACTCGGTGCTACAAGAAACAACCCACACTTCATAAGGGAGCTCCGACTGCGGGTCAAAGAAGTTCAGAAAGCACTTGGAGATGCAGTCAAGGATTCTCAACTTCCAAGGAAGTAAGTCCCTTCTTTAAATAGATTATTAGTGAGTTTCCATTCAAAGGGGGGAAGGGGAAGAGGGTGTTGGCTGTGCTTGCATGCATGACTGTGTATTAATGATTCTGTTTTCTGGCAATTTAATCAGTTGTCTTGTATAGTTGCTTCTTTAGATTCATGTTCTTGTTACTTCCACTCTCTAAGATATGATTTATTTATTTTTGATCAATCTCTAAGATACGATTTATGAATCCAGTGCCTATGACAAAATGAAAGCAATGGAGCAAACATTGGCCAAGGGCAAGCAAATCCAAGATGATTGTGCGGCTGTGGTAAAGAAGCTCCGTGCTATCCTCCACTCAACAGAAGAGCAGCTTAAAGTGCACAAGAAGCAGACCATCTTCTTGACACAACTTGCAGCAAAGACCCTTCCCAAGGGTCTTCACTGCCTTCCTTTACGCCTTTCAACTGAATACTTTTCTTTGGATCCTGGCCAACAGCAATTTCCAAATCAAGAGAAACTAGAAGACAATAGGCTGTACCACTATGCACTATTCTCAGACAACATATTGGCATCTGCAGTCGTTGTAAACTCAACTGTTTTTCATGCCAAGGTAAAGTTGATGGTCTACAAACATAATATGTAATTAGATATTCTTTCTAAGTATACAAGGATTCGTTATTAACGGTGATTTATTTTCTTCTTCAGGATCCAGAAAAACATGTTTTCCACATTGTAACCGACAGACTTAATTATGCAGCAATGAGAATGTGGTTTCTAGCTAATCCACCAGGCAAAGCTACTATCCAGGTTCAGAACCTTGAAGAGTTCACATGGCTAAATTCAAGTTATAGTCCAGTACTGAAGCAGCTTCTTTCTCCATCCATGATAGATTATTACTTCAAGGCTCACCGTGCAAACTCTGATTCAAATTTAAAGTTCCGGAACCCAAAGTACCTATCTATCTTGAACCATCTCCGCTTTTACCTGCCAGAGATCTTTCCAAAGCTCAACAAAGTTCTCTTCTTAGATGATGATACAGTGGTGCAGAAAGACCTTACTGGACTTTGGTCGGTCAATTTAAAAGGAAAGGTTAATGGTGCAGTAGAGACCTGTGGAGAAAGCTTTCACCGTTTTGATCGGTACCTCAATTTCTCAAATCCACTCATTTCTAAGAACTTTGATCCCCATGCCTGTGGGTGGGCGTATGGAATGAATATCTTTGATCTGGAGGAGTGGAAAAAGCAGAACATAACAGGGGTGTATCATACATGGCAGAAACTGGTAAGGGAATATCTGAATAGTTTCTCTTTTCTACTAAAACTATTAGACACATGATTATCTGAACCAAAAGAAGGAAAGCCTTCTAGCATTGAAACTGAAGTCTGAATTCTGAAATTATCTACTGAAATTGTGCAGTTTAGAATTATACCGCAACCCCCTCTTGCAAATGATGGCAGATTTCTTTTGACATAGTAGTTGAGAGAATTTGAAATACCATTACCAGAAACTTTGCAAGCAAAAGGATACATACTTCCTTAGTTAAAGTTTCAAGTTGTAATGAGTGATGTTAGCTGCGTTATGTTTCCTCATGTTAGCACTGTCTTAACTCAAATGGTTGTCGTTCTTGAACACTGTTAAAAGAAAATCCAAATTGTAAAGCAAATCTTTGTTTTATGCGCAGAACCATGACAGACGACTGTGGAAGTTGGGAACTCTACCACCTGGTCTGATAACGTTTTGGAACCGCACACTCCCCCTTGATAGGTCTTGGCATGTGTTGGGTCTTGGCTACAATCCAAGTATGAACCAGAAGGAGATTGAGCGAGCAGCAGTGATACACTACAACGGAAACATGAAACCATGGCTTGAGATAGGCATTCCCAGGTACCGGAACTACTGGGCAAGATTCATCTACTATGATCAAGTTTATTTGCGAGAGTGCAACATCAATCCGTAAGCAGACCATGCATCCCACATCCAACTTTCGATTTTTTTCCAACGCCAAATGTAACATATGTTTTTTGCATCTCTGTGTTACCTTGGTTTCTTTTTTTCTTCTGAATCAAAAGTTGTTACTTTCAAGACTGAACCCAAGAGCAGTCAGTAGCAGTCTTGGCACCCCCCACCCCCCAATTCACAAATCTTTCTCATCTCTTAAATTTGTTTCCAGTTCCATCCGGGAAAAAAGTGCAGATACATTTGTAAATGTTTCAGTGATTAGTGATTGAAGTTAACATAAGTTTATACGTTTTATGATTTTCTCCTCTCCTCCGTAAGTCGTATGAAGCCCATCGAACTTTTTAGCTATTCTTCTTTTGTGATCAATGAATCATACTCTTGCTTTGAGAACGCAGAGATTGTAGTTAATTCAATTTACCTTAGCAACTGTTGTTTTAACAAAAAGAATAAAAAGAAAAGGGTCATTTATTAAAACGCCTCCTATGGTTTTATGGATTTACTAAATTTAATGATTATTCAAATAAATTTAATCAAAAGAAAATAAAAATAAAAATATCATTTTTACTATAATACCCACTATTTGGCTTTATATGATCATTTTGCTTTTATACGAAGTGTTAGGGATAATTTTGGAAAAAAGATTTATGGGTTCATGCCCTTTTTTTATTTAATTGAGGTTTAGGTGATCATGTTGTTGTGAAAAACAATTAGTGAAAAGATCATTAAGTAAATAAGTAAATAGGGGTATTCTAGTGAATGACAAAAAAAAGTTAGCGGTTGCGGGTTGATTCTTTCACTGCACTACCGACAGATTGGCCTTCATTGAGTTTGGTGTAATTGCCGTGAGCTCTGCTGATAGCCTACCACGTGGTAATTCATAGGATCCGGACCCACCACTATGGGTCCCAGATAAAAATGCGTTTGTCCTTTTGATGGAAAAGCTGTGGTGGTTGAAAAATGGGGTTTCGTCGTTGGACGACTTTTGCTGGGGAAGTGAGAATGTAAGTAAGGAAGATGCCCGTGAGTCCGTGACGACAGGTGGATGACTGGATGGGCAATTTAAAGTGATACCGACATTATTATATTTTGGGCCCACATTATTATAATAGGGGGGGCTACCATCACATGGTGGGCCCGAACTCAATTGACATTGACGACAAGATCTGGCCATCTTTTGTCATCTTTTATTTGTCTGTGTTGGATTGTAGCAGTTATTGGCAGATATGTGGCTCCACGTGGTGCTGTCATTTTGTTTTGGGGTTTCGACTTCCGAGCGATTCCGTTTGGTGGACCTGGGTTGGTGGCGTCTACGATTTGTCTACTGTTGCGAATGATGCATCATTAGCCAAAACGATTGCGCTTCGATGTCTTTTTCTCCCCATGTACTCATTCATGTATTGTACCGAGTCTTCCGATATTTACGGTGGTGTTTGGAAACAATGACAAATGCTGTTTGTTTAGTTCCGTTTAAGTTTATTTGATAAACGTTTTGTATTTGTATTTGTGTGATTGCAAAATCGAGAAATACATTTAATGAAAATGTTTTATGATGTATAGACGTCATTAAGCACCACATCAACAAAATGTTAATAAATATCTATCTATTTTAGGAAGCTTCAAAATAAAGCTTCTTGAAACAGAAAAGATGCACTACACATACACATGCAATTAATGAATCATTTGTTGATGGGTGCCCACGTGGTACTGTCAATAAACATTTATTTAATAAATGTAAACAGAACCAAACATATATATAGAGAGAGAGGTGTTTTTAGTAATAGCCACGAAAAAACACTAAAATGTAGTCTTTTAATGTAATTTTGACGTTGCAATGGATGGTTGGCTATACAAAGATATCTTTTCGGTATCATAGCTGGACTCTAATGGCCCAGTTTCTGAGGTGGTAGGTAAAACATTATTTCTTCAGTTTAGTAGTCTCAGTTCATGCATGCACACCATAGGAGATCTGTTGCATAAAGCTCGTTGTTCAGACAAAAGAGATATTAAAGTGAAGCAAGCAGTAAAGCTCTCCACATGACCCCACCTCTTTCTGCCATGTGGAATAATTGTGAGGCCCATCTTATTCTCATCTGTCCAGCTACACTAGCACCCTAGCACCCCTAGGCGTGCAAATGGACTGGACCATGATCCGATCCAATATCCTTTTTTACTGGATTCAGATAGTTGATTGTCAGATTTTTCGGTTGAATCAGATTGGATATAAGATCTGATTAAAATTTGAATCACTCCCAATAAATTATTTACTTATATGTATATGATAAAAATAGTTGAAAAAATACTTTTGTTTTTTATTTTTTTTAATAATTTATTAAAAATTCAGAAATTAAATCAGATCGGATAAGATTTGAATATTTGGCATCCTTAATGAATTCGTATTCGAATATCCATTTGTGACATCTGATTTGATCTTTAGATTGGAGTGAATTTAGGGATATGTATTGCCAGATTGGATTCGGATCTATCCCAATTTGAACCCGATCCAATCTGTTTGCTTCCCTATTGGCCCCACACTTGTATTTGGGTTGAAATTTAAATATTGATGTTAAGGCTGCGTTTGGTTGCAATGCAAACATAAATATGTACACTACATATTTACTCTTTTTTTTGTTCATCAATGCAAATATGGTTCACATTTTAAACCGTTTTTGCACTCATTGTGTTTGTTTGAAATCGGTGCAAGTGTGGGCCTATCATTAAATGCTCCAACTATCTTATGCTCCAATGTCTTAACTTTGGTCAAAAAGTTAATTATCAAAAGAACACAAAATTGTATCAAAAAAATAGGTACAATAATGCTCTCTTCTCAAAGTAAAAAAGTGTCAGAAAATACATTTTTGATTTGATAATCATCACATTTTTACATATCAAACAAACACTTGCAACATGAACCGGGGTACATAAATACCTCAGTTTGGCGTTTGTATCACAAACAAACGGAGACTAAGGGATGAACAACTGAAAGAAATATGTTGGCCCTCTTGGGTCCAATTGCATTGCCACATAGATGAACAATTGGCACTGAGACTTCTCCACAATCCACAGAGCAATCCAGCTAATAGACATGCCTTCATGACCTGGTGAGGTTCTATAAATTGATGCTAATTTCAGAACCAAGAAAAAAAATTGTTTATTTATACTCTTTCTCTTGTGTTATTTTAGGGTTTTTTTTTAACTCATCTCCATATACAGTGATAAAAATGTCATTATCCAAATGTTAGTTCCAGCTATGTGGGATATAGCTTTCGGCATTTTTTCACACAAAGTGGTCGCCCTAGGCTAGAATAACCCACATTCTCACACATTCCAGCCCCATAGAGTTTTTTTTTTTTTTTTTTTTAAGGCTTAAAGCATATTTCATTCATTCAAGAAATTGATACAAGTACWGAGAATTGCCAACAARGCCAATTAGAACCCARATACAATTTCTCAAGAAGAACAAAATATATAAATGGATGAAGGAGAACATAATGAACTTCTGCAATCAAACAAAGGTGAATTTAAAATCACCAACAGAAGTAGATAAGCACAACTCCAATCCACCACAAACAACAAGAGAAGTGATAGGAGAGGTTCGCAAAAGAGATTGCAAAGAGTCGGTAATAATATGATTGGGGTAGATCCGCAAAAGACGGTAGAGTCCCAAACATTATAACCACTACCAGAGACCAACTACCTTCCATAATTGAATCTACCGGAGAACAACGAATGGAACCGACTATGAATTATATCTGCTGGAGAACCACGAACAGACTTAACCATGGACAGCAAAATGTAAAGCAACATCCACCAGTATCGAATGCCCAATACAGGATCCAAGAGAAAGTAACCCCCTTGTCAAATTGCCTGCAGAAAGGAGAAAAAAAAAGCACAAAAAGAGGCAAATAATGGAGAACTAGATGGAAAAGGTGAAGGAAATAGATGAGAGGAAGAACGGATAGAAATAAAATAGTGGGAAGAATGGAGAGAACTAGAGAGGAGGAAGAACGAAGAATGAAAGCAAGGGAGCAAAGAAGAAAAGAAACAAAAAAAAGAGAAAAAAAACCAAGAAAAGAAAAGAGAGGATAATGGAAAGGGGGACTTCCGAAGGGAGCCACCCCAATAGAGAAATTGATAAAACCTCGAGAAACTCAAGAGAGAAGCTCTCTCTAAACAGAGAGAGGGAATGGTTTCGCGACATGCTGAGAGGGAACGGTTTCACAACTTGTAAATAGGGAACGGTTTCGCGACTTCCAGCCCCGTAGAGTTGTGCTATTGAAAATTCAAATGGATAAATGATTGATTAAATAATCATAAAAATGAAAATATAATTTGACAGCATAACCAGCGAAAACAAAGAAAAATTATAAAATAATAACAAATAATAGGAAAGGCTAACAACTATATAAATAAGTATAGATGAAGATAGGCAAAAGTTGAATTCAAAGATGTATGTGATAATCTAGTGATATCTATACAAGTAATTTTCCCTTTTATTTTTATATTTTTATATTTTGTATACTTGTGTAGTGGATGTTCCCTAATTGTGTAAATGTGCAAAAGTGGTTCTAAAAAACAGAAAAAAATAAATAAATTTTGCCAAATCTATCCCCTTTATATTTCTCTTAACCAGACCCCTATTTATGGGATGAGTTCGGTAAATTTGAATGGGTCCGACTCGAAGCCCGAATCCGATACATTGTAAAGAAAACTGGTCTACTCCCATCGTATATGCACTTAACCACCAAACTAATCCGTTTTTTACTGACCGAAAAGGGTACCTCCCATGCCTTTTCCTTGCATGAAAAAGAGCAAGGGTATATTTAGTGTCAAATCGTCCACGTCATCAGAAGATAAGATAAAGGTTGTTACAATTGAAGCATGGAATGATCTGATATCATATACTAACAAAACAAATGCGTCTGTTTGGCCTCGATGTCGTTGCTCCAGAAAATAGTGATGATGGTGTGCGATCTGACTATTCCTAGTTGGATGGCGATTTGTATTCCAATTAGACGGCGAACTAGATCAATCTGCAAAACAGTAGATCAGAGAACCCGGGTAGTTAACCCGGTGAGGTCGCTCCTGTTAGACAGTTATGCCCTTTATCTCCAATTAGATTGATGTACCTTTTTTACATTTATTGTAAATGAATAAAAGTACATAATTGATTCATGTCATTGTAGTGTGTTTCTRTGTAATACCCTTAAACTGGACACTTATGAGACTCGTGATAGTTTAGAATCTTCACATCTGTTGGATAGATCTAGGAAGATTTATCCTGCCAAGGCTGACACTGA